CTCTGTGCCAAGTCGGAAAAGAAAGTCAATCACTCTCTATAGGGTCCCCAAGGATTACATGTCACACAATATATATATACTTTGAAAAAGTGGAAAAATCACTTAAATTGGTTATATTTAGGGATTTAAATGACTATTCTGCAGGAACCAGAACATCTTTGTGAAGCCGATGTGCTATTTAGGAACAAAGGCATTATGTCCTCTTAAAAACATGTTTTTTGGGTTTTTTTTTTATACTTCAGGTTTTCCTGGACATTGTCCCAACCAATAGGCTGCCTTCTCTTTGTATATATAGGGCTGATATACTTCTATCGGATTCATGGAAAGCTCAGACTCCCTTTCACATACAAATGGTTTGTCTTCTATGGGGCAGTCTGCACACTTTACAAGAACCGCTTGGTAATCAGTAGGGAGTCATGTGACCGAACGCCAACCAAAGACTGACCTCCATCGTCTTGTCTTTAGAGCGGGGAGATGGTTGGCCGCCGCTCATCTTGTTTAACTCCCTCCGAAGACTCCTCCGCTCGCGCTCCACCTGTGTGAGACCACAAATGTTACAGGAGGCAACCTCCAGACCCCCCTCCCCTTCAAAACACAAATTCTAACAAGAGTCTACAGGACATAGCAGGAGTTGTTGGTGGGATTTCATTGTGAACATTTGTTTGCCGGACCTCATCCTGCCCTGCAGCCCATCAGCAACATCTGCTTCCTCCATCAGAGATCAGTGGCCATGTTGAAGATGAATTCCAGGTATGGATATTTCCTGCATAGTCACAATGACCCAGTTGGGACCAACTATGTCTATACCATTCCATGGATGATGCTCCTGGAGCTGGAAATCGCAGTATAGACACCGCTACTCCAGTGATCTCCACTTGCTTTCGGGATCCTTTGCTGAGCGACTAGCCGGATGCATTTTGAACACAGAAGGTTGGATGCCCATCATAGGTGACATTCAGAGAAGGCTTTGAATGGTGAGCGACTGATCGGATACATTTTGAAAGCAGGAGGTTGGATGCCATTATGGGTGTCATTCAGAGAAGGCGTTGAATGGTGAGCGACTGGCATGATACATTTTGAACACAGGAGGTTGGATGCCCATCATAGGTGACATTCAGAGAAGGCTTTGAATGGTGAGCGACTGATCGGATACATTTTGAAAGCAGGAGGTTGGATGCTCATTATGGGTGTCATTCAGAGAAGGCTTTGAATGGTGAGCGACTGGCCGGATACATTTTGAACACAGGAGGTTGGATGCCCATCATAGGTGACATTCAGAGAAGGCTTTGAATGGTGAGCGACTGGCCGGATACATTTTGAACACAGGAGGTTGGATGCCCATCATGGGTGTCATTCAGAGAAGGCTTTGAATGGTGAGCGACTGGCCAGATACATTTTGAATACAGGAGGTTGGATGCCCATCATGGGTGTCATTCAGAGAAGCTTTGAATGGTGAGTGACTGGCCGATACATTTTGAACACAGGAGGTTGGATGCCCATCATGGGTGTCATTCAGAGAAGGCTTTGAATGGTGAGCGACTGGCCGGATACATTTTGAACACAGGAGGTTGGATGCCCATCATGGGTGACATTCAGAGAAGGCTTTGAATGGTGAGCGACTGGCCGCATACATTTTGAATACAGGAGGTTGGATTGCCCATCATGGGTGTCATTCAGAGAAGGCTTTGAATGGTGAGCGACTGGCCTGAGGCATTTTGAACACAGGAGGTTGGATGCCCATCATGGGTGTCATTCAGAGAGAAGGCTTTGAATGGTGAGCGACTGGCTGGAGGCATTTTGAATACAGGAGGTTGGATGCCCATCATGGGTGTCATTCAGAGAAGGCTTTGAATGGTGAGCGACTGGCCGGATGCATTTTGAACACAGGAGGTTGGATGCTCATCATGGGTGTCATTCAGAGAAGGCTTTGAATGGTGAGCGACTGGCTGGATGCATTTTGAACACAGGAGGTTGGATGCTCATCATGGGTGACATTCAGAGAAGCTTTGAATGGTGAGCGACTGGCTGGATGCATTTTGAATACAGGAGGTTGGATGCCCATCATAGGTGACATTCAGAGAAGGCTTTGAATTTTCACAGCATTCAAAACATTGGATGAGGTGGAGAGCGTGACGTCACCACTCTGTCTCTCCACCTTGTCCAATCTGACACTTTGCATTCATTCAGAAAATGCAAAGTTTTCTCCGAAAGGTGCCTGTGCTGAGCGTTGGACCTCTTGTGTTCAAAATGCATCAGGCCAGCTGCTCAGGACAGGACCTGGAAAATAGTAGTAGCGGGGCTACGTCAGTGATTTCCAGCTTCCAGGGCATCAGCCAGGTATGATCCTGTATATACATAGTTACACTGCTTCAATCTAAATCAATGTATCACTGGATGCAGAAAATATCCTCACCTGGAACCCCACTTTAAAGAGATAACTTCACCTTTTAACAAAAAATATTAAATGCACATTTTTTTGGCAGGTAAATAAAAAATGTGCATTTATTATATTTTGTTTCTGAAGCCTCTAAACCAGGGGTGTCAAACTGGTGGCCCTCCAGCTGTTGCGAAACTACAAGTCCCATCATGCCTCTGCCTTTGGGAGTCCTGCTTGTAACTGTCGGTGGCTTGCAATGCCTCATGGGACTTGTAGTTCTGTGACAGCTGGAGGCCTACAGGTTGAGCACTCATGGCTTAAACAGTGTCTCCACACAAAACATGTTTTTTAAAGTTTTGGACAGAATAGGGAATGGTTAGAACCACGGACGAGGTTCAAAGGGTCCCCCGCTTCATCGGAGATTTGCATCATTGAACAAGGTGTTTACTGGACTGACAAAACCTGGAGGATCCTGAACCAGCTTTACCGGCATCTGGAGCGATCAGACCAAATCATCCTTCAGGATCCCACCAATTACATCAGTCCAGTACACACTTTTTTCAATCGTATGAAGTTCTGTTGAAGGGGGAACCTTTGAACCCCCGAAACACATTGGCTTTTTATGATGTGAGAGTCTGAATAAAATGAAATGTGGACTTTATACATTCGGATTGTTTGCATGCCCAGTGCCTGCGTGGTGGAAGAGATGACCTTTAGCCACCACTCCTGGGAGGGATGCCTAGAGCGGAACGTTACCCATAACAACTACAAGTCCCATCATGCCTCTGGCTTTGGGAGTCATGCTTGTAACTGTCAATCCTGCAATGCCTCATGGGACTTGTAGTTTAGCAACAGCTGGAGGGCCGCCAGTTTGGCACCCCTGCTCTGCTCTAAAGCATTGCACCAGCGATCAGCGGGAATTACAGCAGATGGGGGGGAATTACAGAAGATGGGGGGGGGAATTACAGCAGATGGGGGGCATTACAGAAGATGGGGGGGGGAATTACAGCAGATGGGGGGCATTACAGAAGATGGGGGGGTGGAATTACAGCAGATGGGGGGCATTACAGAAGATGGGGGGAATTACAGCAGATGAGGGGAATTACAGCAGATGAGGGGGGGAAATTACAGATGGGGAGGGAATTACAGCAGATGGGGGGGAATTACAGCAGATGGGGAGGGGATTACAGCAGATGGGGGGGGGATTACAGCAGATGGGGGGGGAATTACAGCAGATAGGGGGGGGGGGAATTACAGCAGATGGGGGGGGGGGAATTACAGCAGATGGGGAGGGAATTACAGCAGATGGGGAGGGAATTACAGCAGATGGGGGGGAATTACAGCAGATGGGGGGGGAAATTACAGCAGATGGGGGGGGGAATTACAGCAGATGGGGGGGGGGGAATTACAGCAGATGGGGGGAATTACAGCAGATGGGGGGGGTGGATTTACAGCAGATGGGGGGGATTTACAGCAGATGGGGGGGATTTACAGCAGATGGGGGGAATTACAGCAGATGGGGGGGAATTACAGCAGATGGGGGGAATTACAGAAGATGGGGGGAATTACAGAAGATGGGGTGAATTACAGAAGATGGGGGGGAATTACAGAAGATGGGGGGGGGATTACAGCAGATGGGGGGGAATGCCAGCAGATGGGGGGGGAATGCCAGCAGATGGGGGGGGGGGGGGGGAATTCCAGCAGATGGGGGGGAACTACAGCAGATGGGGGGGAATTACAGCAGATGGGGGGGGGGGAATTACAGCAGATGGGGGGGGAATTACAGCAGATGGGGGGCATTACAGAAGATGGGGGGCATTACAGCAGATGGGGGAGCATTACAGCAGATGGGGGGAATTACAGCAGATGAGGGGAATTACAGCAATGGGGAATTACAGCAGAAATGGGGGGGGACTACAGCAGACGGGGGGGATTACAGAAGATGGGGGGGAATTACAGCAGATGAGGGGAATTACAGCAGATGAGGGGGGAATTACAGCAGATGGGGGGGGGGGGGAATTACAGCAGATGGGGGGGGGAATTACAGCAGATGGGGGGGGGGGGGAATTACAGCAGATGGGGGGGGGGGGAATTACAGCAGATAGGGGGTGGGAATTACAGCATATGGGGGGGGGAATTACAGCAGACGGGGGGGGAATTACAGCAGATGGGGGGGAATTACAGCAGATGGGGGGGAATTACAGCAGATGGGGGGGGGGGGGGAATTACAGCAGGTGGGGGGGGGAATACAGCAGATGGGGGGGGGGGGGGAATACAGCAGATGGGGGAGGGGAATACAGCAGATGGGGGGGATTACAGCAGATGGGGGGCATTACAGCAGATGGGGGGGAATTAAGCAGATGGGGGGGGGGGGGGAATTACAGCAGATGGGGGGGGGGGGGGGGGGAATTACAGCAGATGGGGGGGGGGGAATTACAGCAGGTGGGGGGGGGGATTACAGCAGATGGGGGGGGAATTACTTTTTTTTTTTAATGTATCTTTTCCTGTATAAGCCGTCCTGGCCTCAGAATATCACATTTTATACCGGGTCAGTGAACTGACAGATGAAGTTTATGCTCACTTCCTGCAGAGTGTCGCTCAGCTTGAGATTACGATCCTCCAGGGAGGTTTTCTCGTTCTCCAATCGGGCCACGGTCTCATGCAGGACCTCCAGCCTCTTCTGCAGACTATCACTACTTGCTGGAGGCTGTGTGTCGGCAGTTGTCACATTCTGCAGGAAAAAGGTAACGCATTCAGAACAAACGAGGTGGTATCAAAAAACTTAGATTCTAGTTTTGTAACGCGCCAACAGATGGCAGCACAAGGCTGCACTCACAGTCCCGGGGAGCACCGACCTTCATAAGTCAGTGTGAAAAATGCATCGTCCTGTGTACATCGGGAGTAACTGGTGCTATTATGACCACGTCTGCTATTTCATCATGGACAGCAAGTGAGAACTCCCGCTGATTGAGGAAAATTCTCCAACAAGCCTGTTCAGCACAAGCTGATTAACTTCTGTCGAGTGGCCACAAAGTTCGTCTGGTCCCAGTTGAACCGGTAAATATTGATTTATATATATATTTTTTTTTGTTCTTAAAGCAGAGATCCTAGATAATAAAATCGTGGATGTTGCATTTTTTTTTTTAACACATTTTGTTTGGAAAAATATGTTTTAATGCGCAAAAACACAATATAATACCCAATTGTTTGGTAAAACATAAAAGATGATGTTATGCCGAGGAAATAGATATCTAACACGTCACGCTTTAAAATAGTGTTCGCCTGTGGAACGGCGCCAAACTACAGTACCTAAAAATCTCCACAGGCGACGCTTTGAAAGCTTATATACGTGATTTTGCGCAGCGCTGCCTCCCTGCAGCAGTATTTCTACTATAGGGCGGTCGGCAAGCGGCTAATTGACAATATCACCATGGGGGGTTCTCTTTCCAGAGATGTCACCTTGAAATGTACATGTTCAAGATAACAGTGTCTGCTTAACCTCCCTGGCGGTCTGATTATTTCCGATTTTTGGTGCTGAAAGCGGTACATTTTTTTGCATGGAAATATGTATTTTTTTATTGCAGGCCTGTAATTTTTAGGAATAACTCACTGAAATCTGTCCGAACAAGAGTCTAGTAATCATCCCGGGGAGGATAAAACTTGAAACACGAAATCATAAATTATAATTTAATTAATAATCATAAAAAATAATAATAATATAATAATAAATTTAATTCAATAATACAATCAAACCAAAAACACTGAAATGTGAAATAGAGCGCCAAGTTCGCACATCGCTGAGCAAAGTCGCAGAATCGTTTTCAGTGTCTGATGAGGAATTTCCCCCACCAATCATTATCACTCAATTCTGCAAGTGGTTCTGATTTACTATTGCTGTTCTCTAGCCGGTCTAAAACCGCGTCTGACCTAAAGGGACGCTTTTTGGACGCCATGGACGTTTCTCAGTTTCCAGGCAGAAAGGGCGGTAAAAAAAATGCAGGCAGGGCGCCGGACAAAGCACTCGGGACAAAATGTATGTGAAATGGTTTGTTACAGTAATGGAATATTATGTGATTTTAGTGAATTTAGTGAATGTCACTTTTACAACTTTCAAATTTCCCGCCAGTTCCGTCCCCCGTACGTCCCGACGTCACAGGGAACGGAACCCAGAAGATGGATGCCGGCATCCACCGGAGGACATTTTGCGGGGGCGCTGCAGGGGGGACATCGCGGGAGCGCAGGACAAGGTAAGTGCAGAACAGATCCCGGAGCAACACTGCAGTGTATTCCCGAGTGTAGCTCGGGGGGGTTACCGCTTGTGGTGCTGAAACTTTACCCCGAGCTACATTCGGGAATACCGCCAGGGGGGTTAATATCTCTTTAAATATATGTACCAAATGGCAGTCACCTTACCTTTATTTTTTGCTGAAGCAGTGGACAGCACCAGTGGGGACTCCAGAAAAAGTAAGAGGCTGCTCTGTGCAATATCCTTTACACAGAGCAGGTAAGTATATACCTCTTTTTTCATTTTATTTTTTTTTTTAATTAATATCTCTTTAAATATATGTACCAAATGGCAGTCACCTTACCTTTATGTTTTTGCTTTCCAGCTTCCAGTTCCTGAGAGCTCTTTCTCCTCGAGATTTCATCAGCCTCCATCTTTCTTAGAGCAGTTTCTGTTTTTTCAAGCCTCTGTCTGAGCATCATCTCTCTCTTGCTAGATTCTTCTCTTTCATGATAAAGAGCTTTAATGTCTTCTTCCATCTCATATATTCCTATATCCTCTTTTGTGTATTGAATATCCATTCCTTGTGCTTTGATTTCCTCTTGCTGGTTGTCCAGGTCTTCTCTGTTCCCATCCAGAAACTGCATTCCTTTGGCAGTCTCTGCCTGTTCTTTTCTATCTTTTGGCTCCATTTCTTGATCTTTGTCCATTAGAACTTGTTGAAATTCTCCTCTTTTCACTTTCAGGGACATCATGTCCGCAACAGTCACTTCTACCTGCCTCTCTTTTTCTGATCTTACCTGAGAAAGTTCTACCACTTTCCGTCTCAGGTACAGTCTTTCTATCTCTTTCATGCTCATTTCCTGCTCTTTATCTAACAGGACTTGTCCAAGAGCTTCAATTTTCTCACCCCTAAGTCTTAATTCCTGTTCCATTACCTGTGCATGTTTCTCCTTTTCCACAAGAGCATAGGAAAGTTCTGCTATTTCACGTCTCAGTTCTGACTTTTCCACCTCACCTAACCTTTCTTTGTCTTTGAGTTCCCGTTCCCTATCTTTCAGGATCCGTCCAATTTTTTCATCGGCTTCTTTCATGGATTTTATTTCATTCTTTGCCTTCTGAGAGTCTCTCTCTTTGTCTGTTAGACTTTGAGAAAGTTCTGTGACTTTTTCCCTAAGTGAATTACTCTCTTGTTCACTCCTTATTGACAACTCTTTAATCTCTTTCTCTTTATTTGTTAGAGCTTTTCTCAGGTCCTCTATTTTATCTCTTAAAGACTTAATTTCCTTAGTAGCATCGTCGGTTTCTCCATCTTTCTCCAGTAAGGCCCGTGAGAGTTCCATCAACCTCTGACTCCAGGCTCTCCTTTCTTCTTCACTATCCCCTTCCTTTGCAAAGTCCTCCCTTTCTTTATTTAACAGGACTAGTTTAAGCTCTGCCACTTTATCTTGAAGGACTTTTATCTCACTTTTTGCATCCTCAGCTACTTGCTCTCTCTCAATACCAGCCTGAGAAAGGTCATTTAGTTGCTGCTGTAGAGACCACTTGTCTTCTTCATTCTGTCTTATTCCCTGTTCTAATGCTCGCTCCTTCTGTGCTATGACATGTTTGAGTTCTCCAACCTTTTCTCTAAGAGATTTCACATCTTGTGCATGCTGATTGGCTCCTCTTTCCTTCTCAACAGTAGAGTTTGGGTTACATCTTTTGCTTTCTGCTGCAGAGACCTCTTTTCTTCTTGGTGCTGTCTCCTCTCTGCGTCTACGTCTTTCTCCTTAGCAATAAGAGTTAGCCTAAGTTCTCCAATCTTCTCTCTGAGAGTTGTTAGCTCTAGTTTTGCTTGGTCAGCTTCCTGCTCTTTCTCCAGGAGGGCTTCCGAAGCATCTCTCACCCGTTGCTTTAAGGACTTCTTTTCCTGCTCGCTCTGACTCCTGTTTTCCACCAACTCTTGCTCTTTATCTACTAAGACTTGTCTAAGTTCTCCAACCTTCTCTCTCAAAGATTTCACCTCAAGTTTTGTTTCTGCTGTGTCTTGCTCCTTAGCGTTAAGAGATAGCCTAAGTTCTCCAATCTTCTCTCTGAGAGTTGTTAGCTCTAGTTTTGCTTGGTCAGCTTCTTGTTCTTTCTCCAGGAGGGCTTCTGAAGCATCTCTCACCCGTTGCTTTAGGGACTTCTTTTCCTCCTCACGCTGCTTCCTCTTTCCCTCCATTTCTTGCTCTTTGTCTACCAGGACTTGCCTAAGTTCTCCAACCTTCTCTCTCAAAGATTTCACCTCAAGTTTTGTTTCTGTTCTGTCTTGCTCCTTTTCTGAGAAAGCCTGAGAAATGTCTCTTATCCTTTGTTTTAGGGTTCTCTTTTCTTCCTCCTCTTTCTTTATATTTTGCTCTTTTTCTTCTAAGGCTAATCTGAGTTCTTCCAGCTTGTCTCTTAGGGACATCATTTCAAACTTTACTTCATCTACTTCACTCTCCTTCTGCGTTAGAGACCTGGAAAGTTCTGCTATTTTCTTGTGCAGTGTGTTCTTTTCTACCTCACTTTGACTCTCTTTTTCCTTAGCTTCCTCTTCCTTGTCAAGTAAAGCTTGCCTCAGTTCTTCTAGTTGTCCTTTCAAAGTTTTCATCCTCAACTCTTTCTCTGTCTCGTCTATTTTCTGTTGAATTAAAGATTGGTTAAGTTCTGTAAATCTCTGTCTGTGATATTTTTGATCTTCCACCATTTTGGTTTCCCTCTCTGACAGTTCCTTTTCTTTGTCTAGGACATTTTCTTCAAGCACTTCTACTTTCTCTCTTAGTAATTTCATCTCATCCTTCTTCATCTCCGCTTCTTGCTTCATATCTGCTATAGATTGTGAAAGGTCTGTAATTCTCTGCTTTAAGAATGCTTTTTCTTGTTCATTTTCTCCTGTCTTCTCTTGTATGACATGCTCTTTGTTTAGCAACTCTTGTCCAAGTTCTTTTATCTTCGATTTAAAAAAATGCGTGTCTCAAGTTCCTTGTCTTCTATTTCTTTTTCCCTTTTCCTTAAAGCTTGAGACAGTTCCAATATTTTTTGACTCAGGGCTGTTTTGTCTTCCTCCATATGTTTTTCCTTCTCACTCAAGTCCACATCCCTGCCCATCAGAGTATGTCTAAGTTCTTCCACCTGTTCTCTCAGATATTTCTGATCAAGTTCTCTCTCTTGCGTCTCCTTCTTCTTATCTGTTAATTCCTGGGAAAGCCGAGCCACTGTTTGCTTCAAAGATAACTTCTCTTGCTCGTTCTGCTGTTCCCTTTTTTCTACTTCTTCCTTTAATACAAGTCTTTCCATAGTTTCTTTCAAGGCTCTCATGTTGTCCTCTGCCTTGTCTAGCTCTTGTTTCTTGTCTTTGAAAGCCTGAGACAAATGTGAAAGTCTTTCTATCAATCTGCCTCTCTCCCTCTTCTCTTCTTCTTTTTGCCATTCCATTTCTTTCATTGCTTTCTGAAGTAATTCTAACTTCTTTGTTAGGGGTTGGCTTCCATCCTGTTTTTCCGACATCTCCCCAATAAAGGACATAGAAAGCTCACTGATCCATTCCTCCACTGCTCTCTTGTCCTCTTCTGCTTTTGTTGCAACACTGTTCTTATTGGCTGTATCCTGGATAAGTTTCTCTATTTGTTTTTTCAGAGAGTTTATGTGTTGTTCTTTCTCTTCATTTTGGATATCCCGCTCAGTCATTTTTTGTGAAAGTTCCGTTATTCTTTGTTTTAGTGTCATGACATCTCTACTGTTCTGGATCTTTTCATTTTGTATCTCTCTCTCCTTCTCTTGTAGGACATGCTGAACTTTTTTAATTTTGTTCTTTAGTTCTACTATACATTCCTCACTCTGATGTTCTTGAATGTCTTTTTCTTTTAGGAGTTGCAAAAGTTCTTTGATGTTTTCTGTCAAGGCACTGCTTTCTCTTTCAAATTGTAATCTCTTTTCCTCCGATTCAACATCCTTTTCCAGAAGTGACTGTGAAAGTTCTTGCTCCCTCTCTTTCAAAGACTTGATGTCTTGCTCCATTCGTTCTTCCAACTTTTCTCTCTCTTCCAGAGCTTTAGAAAAATTGATTTTCAACTCATTGTTTTCTCTCTGAAGAATTAGTATTTCCTGTGAGAGTCTCTCCTTCTCTTTGATAGTTTGAGAAAGCTCTTCCAGCTTCTCATATTGACCTCTGCTTTCTCTTTTGGCTTGTTCCTCCAATGCTTCAAGTTCCTCCTCTTTTTGTATGAGGGTCTGAACATGTTCCATATTTTTCTCTTTCAAATACTTTATGTTGTTTTCCATCTCTTCTTCCAATTTTTCTCTCTCTTGCAGAGCTTCAGAAAGCTTGCGTTGCAACTCTTCATTTTCTCTCTGCATATTTTGAATTACCTTTGAGAGTTTCTCCTTCTCTTTTATAGTTTGAGAAAACTCTTCCAGTTTCTCGTTTTGACCTCTGCGCATTCTTTGGGCTTGTTCCTCCAATGCTTCAAGTTCTTCCTCTTTCTTCTTCAGGGTCTGAACATGTTCTGTATTTTTCGCTTTCAAATACGTGATGTCTCTTTCCATCCGTTCTTCCAATTTTTCTCTCTCTTGGAGAGCTTTAGAAAGTTTGCTTTGCAACTCTTCGTTTTCTCTCTGAATATTTTGTATTTCCATTGACAGCTTCTCTTTCTCTTTGACAGTTTTAGAAAGCTCTTCCAGCTTTTCGTTTTGACCTCTGCGCATTCTTTGGGCTTGTTCCTCCAACGTTTCAAGTTCCTCCTCTTTCTCCTTCAGGGTCTGAACATGTTTCAGATTTTTCTCTCTCAAATACTGAATGTCTTTTTCCATCCGTTCTTCCAATTTTTCTCTCTTGTCTCTCTTGGACAGCTTTAGAAAGTTTACTTTGCAACTCTTCATTCTCTCTCATAAGGTTTTGCAATACCTTCTCCTTTTCTCTGACAGATTGTGAAAGTTCCGCGAGCTTTTCATTTTGACCCATTTGATCTCTTGGGCTTGTTTCTCCAACAAGTCAATTTCCTGCTCTTTCTTTTTCATGGTCTGAACGTGTTCTATTATTTTTTCTCTCAGACGTTCTTCTTCCATCCTGGTTTGTCTTTGTATGGAAGCTATCTGAGATTCCAAACTTACGATTGTGGCTTTGTGCATTGGACTTCTCTTTCTGGTGTCCCTCTAAGTTCCCCTTCAAGGACAGAATATCTTTTTTTTTTGCTGTTCAATAATCAGCACCTGGTTTTTCCTTGCCTCCTGGCTCTCCAGCAGTGTCTCCTGCAGGGATGCATAAGTTGCATCTCTTTCTTTCAAAGAGATCTTTTGCGACTCCAGATCATGTAGAAGAGCTTCTTTTTCCTTTTGAGTGGACAAAACATTCTCTTCAAGCATCTCTATTTCCTTGTTTCTTTCTTGAACCTTTGCATTCTGAGACTGCAGTAAATTGAAGTATCTATCCTTGTCCTCAAAGCACTCTTGAAGGGTCTTCTTTAAGGATTCCAAATTCTGTGCACACTGATTGTTTGAAAGCACTAGATCATCTTTCTCAGATTCACACTCCACAAGTCTTAATCGTAAAGACTCAATCAGAGAGTCCCTTTCTTCTAAAGACAGAGTTTGCTGAACTAATTCCTCCGTTAGGTTCTCGGTTTCAATTTTTTGCTCTTTTATGCGGTCTCCTAATTCCTTGATTTGTTTATCCCGCTCTCCTAAAGTTTGCTCTAGAGCTCTAACCATGGCTTCTCGTTCGACTTGGCATTGCTGGAGACTTTCTAATAGAGATGACTGCTGCTGAGATGACTCTAAAGTCGCAACAGAAAGTTGCTCCAAAAGTCTCTCCCTTTCTACGTCAGAGAGTCTGAGACTCTCGTTCAAAGTGTTTATTTGTTGGTCTCTCTCTGCGACAAGCTGACGACATCTTTCTTCTGCTCTCAAGAGAACTCTCTTTTAGACTTTCACATTCTTCCAGGCTTTTAGCTTGAGCAGACAGTCGCTCTTCGGTCTTCTTAGTACTTTGGATTTGTTCCTGTAAGGCACTGGAAGCTGTTTCCTTCTCTTGCTGGATCAGTAGCACATTCTCTTTTAGTGTCCTAATTTCACGTTCTCTTTCTTGCACAGTCACACGGAGCTCTGCTACTGAAGTCAAAGCGTTCTGCTTTTCATCGCTGCACTCTTGAATATTTTCTCTAAGCTCACTCATCTGCTTGTCTTTGTCTTC